TATCGAAAATATGGGGACGTTTTGTAGCCCTGGATGCCAACTTCATCTGACGAATGGCTTGTAAATGAAAAAATCCTTGATGGAAAGTTTTGCTATACATCCATGCTTCTGCTTCACTGATTTCTATCAATTGCTGCCGATATTCGTAGCACAATTTAATTGTAGAGGCTTGTTACTCATGCGATAGTTTTTCCCAGTTTGGCTTGTTACTCATGCGATAGTTTTTCCCAGTTTGTTCGTCCAGCTGGGACGAGAAGGATTGGCTTCTTGTCTCATGGTGTGTTGGTTGATGCTCATTTATTCAAAATCGATATTTTTGACTAGTCGGACCCGTGTGTGAGAAGAGCAAGAGTACATGTAGAAAGACTACTGATATTTCTGTCGAATTCACTGTCTTTCCTTATCTATTTCTGTCGAGATCTCTACATGCAGGCTTGTAGAATGATGGTGTTGTGATTGGTGGGTACGGTTTTTACCCATGAAGGCTCCCCCCAGATCACAACTAGATTTGAAAACTGTAACATTTTGTTTTGCAATACCGCAATCACCGCAAAAGAACTCTTGAAAACCTCCTTCTTTTGTTCTTCTTCCTCTTCCTTTCCCCCCTCCTCTTCTGTCCTCCCCCCCCCCCTAAGCTAGAATAGAACGATGAAAGTGGTTTGGCCGATCCAAAACTCTGTTGACAAAGCGAAAGCCGCCTGATTTGCTACTTCATCGATCCTCTTGTGACCATCAGCCAGTACCTGGTACAGTCAATGTCTATGACATCTAAGCATTTAAGAGCTGGATCTAAGCCTCGATGGCAACACTTTCATTCTTCCATCGATGGCTGCTCGCCCCCCAAACTACCAGCTTCCAAGCATTCTGTCACAATAAACATCATACAGGTAGTGGTGGTGGTGGTGGATCGACAAAAAGAGGTGGCGGCAATCGCAAGGCGCTCCACCGACTAGCTCCAATTGGATGTCGGGTTTCTGGAAACAGTTCGGCTTGGAATAGGTACATATAGGTATCAAAGGGATACAGCGTTGTGTAATCAAAAAGTGGAATGTGTTCCAATATCTTTTCGTGTTTGGCTTGATACCCCGCCTCGTCCTCTAGAATGGCACGCAATCGTTCTTCAAAAATGTCACTATCCGCAGCGGCTCGCAGTGAATGAATGGTAACCTTATGCGTCGGACCGCCAGTCTTTTTTTTCCCGTTTTTCGCACCCGTATCATCGTGGACTGGCAAATAGTACGACAACTGGCTCCAATCGATCCAGTCCCCCGCCAATTCGTATTGGTGTAAATGCGTAAAGATGGGAACGGTTCCACTCAAGATTGTATCCATGAGTCGTTGACTTGAGTAGGTATCACCGGCAGCGTGAAAGCCAAATCTAGATTCGGCCAAGGCAGGACATTGACTGCCTTCTCCACAGACAGAGATTCGAATCATAGTAGAATTACTTTTGTTGTTGTTGTTGTTGTCGTTGATTTGGCCCAACCATTTGCAAATCTTTCGCCGATTCTTAAAGGCCTGCTTTTCCTTGTGCAATGAGCCAATCATGCCAACATCGAAGGGTTTTTCCTTGCCACCATGATCATTTTCGGAATAGATTGGGCAGGGACTGCCGACGTGATAGGAGGTAAAGGAATGCCGCCCAGCTGCCTTATTGGGATATCGATCCGTTCCTTCGAATACAAGTACTTGCATTTGCTTAAAGGCATCCAAGAATCGTTGAAATTGTTTGTTCCGTTTGATTTGTTCTGAATTCCACTTGTAACTGGCCGCTGAGAAAAAGGATCGTACAATGATATGGTGATCCGGATACTGTTGAAAGGCTGGAGACCTCACTAATTTGTCCAAAGAATCCAAAAGAAGAGCAATGTCGCACAAACCATTGACACAAAGGCTTCGATTTTTCCACACCCGGTAATCCCAAAAGTTCATGAGCCAGGGCACAAAAAACAGCTTTGCTTCGCTCATGTTCTTGGTGCGCATGGGATGACCATTAAGACTGGCCTTCCACATCCAATAGTCACCGCCATGTTTGAATTTGCCTTTTGCACTATCCGAAGGATCGGCAATCTCCTCTACCGATTTTCCGCTAAGAGTTGCTCCGTTCCACGCCAAATCTTCATAGACATAGAATGGAACGCTCAACAAAAGGTCTCTTTTTTCAATGACAGGTTTGGATGATTCAGTTCTTGGCAATAATAATGATGTATTGACGAAACGAGACGTCAAATTGGGTAACATCGAGAAAGAGGTCGCATTAGGCCCAAGGGACTGAAAAATGTTTTGAACAAGAAGTAGGAAACAACAGACCGCGAGGCCTTTCAACAGAAACTCCCGTTGCATATCGATTGTTATTGTTGTTGACGATGATGCCTGGGCTTATATATATATACGCTGTAGTATCAGGCGCCTGATGTATTCCAACTGGTCACTGGTAAGACTGTGATTGTCTTATCGTCGCGTCTTCAAACAGCGTTGCTTTTCAAATGACGCTGCGACGGTATAGTAGATGAACGTTGACAGACTACAAATGTACGTGAACATGCAAACGATTATTAGCATCGCAATAATAATGTATAATAATAATATGCATGACCGATTTTCGCACCATATTCTATTGAATACTGGAGAGATGTCATGTTGAATGTTGCCGACCATGCACAGACCATAATTGTTGAAGTTCGCGCGCTTCGCGCACAGCTAGCAGTTCCAGAAAAAATTCAAAATAGCCGAATAAGGCATCATCACTTCAGTTTCTGCGCGATTTGTCGTTGTAGAATAGTAATATGTTCCATACTTCTCGTTGGTCACCCACCCACAAGAATAATTAAAATCAATCGTTTCTCAAGAAGAGATATGCTGCGTCTCCTCTGTTCTTGATTATTTCGAAGCGTGTTTTTTTAATCACAAAGCACCACTGGGGTTGCCACACCCTGACGCAATGTGCTCTGCTGCCTGTCCACAGTTGACTTCATCGTGCTGCTGTTACTACCATTTTGGCTGTAGAAGAATCCAGAGAACAATCTGTGTCACCGCGAGAAGCTCGTTTCATGGCACCCGATGACGAAGCCGAGTCGTGGCGATCGCCAGACCTACAGCCAAGGCTATTTATGAAAACAAATCGAGCTACAGTGTACTCACTTGATAGTATTCATATATATGCCTAGTCGTATCACAATGTTACAAATTATCTATCGATCTCCCCATCAAGCTGCGGCCGCTGTTGGCATGGTAGCAAGGAGGCTCTCAAGAAAACCTTGGAGATGGCGTAGTCGCGAAGTGTAACCTTCATCCACCATAACCATGTAGATGGAAACCAATTGCCCAACGCATGCATTCCACAAGTCGTTGTCCCCAATCTGCAGATCGACCAATGCAGCATTGTTATACAACACGAAGAGGAACAAGGGATCCTGCTCGATATCTTGTGACGAATCGTGCGCCAAGGCGTACAATTGCTTTGCTCTATGCAGGTACTTGGGTGACCATTCCTTGTCTAGTAGTGCCATCAAATGATGAGCAAGGGCAGTGTTGAAAATGAGAACGGGTGTGATGATATTATGATCAGTCACGCCGGGAGGCAATTGAATGGCATGGTTGTAGAAAAATGGACGAGGTTCACATAGGTCATTGTTCTCCTTCATGTTATTATGAAGCATGCACTGATCGGTTGAGCTTTCAGGTGAGGATGAGGAGCTTCTTGCTGAAAAAAGGAAGTTGTCTACTTGTGTTGATGGGATGCTACCAAGGCGCTCTAGTGCATACGAAGATGACACAACCGCACTGCAGTAATCTTTGGCGTCAAGGAGGAAAGCAATGGTTTGCTGGTTCTGATTGATAACATTTTGAAGCGACATTATACTATCACTCGTTTTTCTCTCTCTTCAAAAATATGAGTGGAAACTTCCTACAACTTAGGACTGGAAGTATATACAGTATCGTACCGTACAGTACCTGGTACCAGCTCCCGTACGTGTATCGGTATGCAACTAGCCTCATTCCATCCACGCTCCTTATTTTCAATGAAATGGGGAAAATATCAGCCATTCACTCGTTGCTTAATTGTACAGTACCAGGTACACGTACATATGTATACCCTTCTCCGAAGAGCCGGTGGAAGCTTTCGCCTTCAGTCGACGCGGGTTCCTATTTCGATTAAAGAAATATGAGCGGAGAGTTCAAACCCTTTGTGTTCTCTGATCACGCAACTTCAAGTGTTCCCGACTTGTTTGATCATACGAGTATATCACCGCAAACGAAAGTTATGGGATTATGGTTTTATTTCGGGGAATTGGGTGTTTTTTTTTTTGTTTCGGTCTGACCAACCAACCGTATTTCACCATAGTTTTTACCACAAACCCCGACTGCCTTTTTCGCGGCAGAAACTTCCAGTCCTCCCAAAGTTTTCACCCGACAACCAAGAATAGAACCACAACACCCTGAGTATTGCATCGATAATCTATTATAATCTAAACTTCCGATTCACATGTATATCCTTTTTTTTAAATTTCCCTCTAACGGTCGCATCTTCATCGCATCATTGAGAAAATAAATCTTTGCGATATTATATATACGATGCGATTTTATCCCTCTGAACGATCCTCTTCGACATCCATCAGGCATTTATTCTATCTCATTGCCCTGGCCAGAAGAGTGAAATGGGCTTTCCTCATATGGCTTATGCCTCCAATAGCGATCAACGCTCAGCCTTCATTTCCTGTGGAACTAAAGAGTTTCGAAAGCTCCCATATTACGGACGGTTGTTTTTAACGAAATACCATATGTTTGATCCAGCCGAGACAAACGCCACGGAGATCTTCCAACTCCAGAGAGCTGATGACGAAGAATCCAACAGAAGGTTGGACGCTATGAAAGCCATGGTTCCAATGAAGTTATTTTACAACCGGTTCTTGGATGGTTGGAACTCTCTTGACGCCGAAGTGCAATCCACTGTCCCAGTCGATGACAAAGCTGCAGTGTCAAGAGCCTATGCCAAGCATATTCTTTCGCACTATCTCCCTGAAGCTGACCTCACAGATGCCAAAATTGACGAGTTTTGCAATGATGTCCACTCATTTCTAACTTTATATGATAAAGTTATTTTACAGCAGGTGAAGGGCGCCCATCTAGTGCTACTGAATGCAAAAAAGGGCTATGCCGACAAATTCCCTCTTGGCATGCAAAGCGTTATGTCATTAGCTAAAATTGATGCCGAATTTGCCAATGAAGCCTTGGAGCTGTATGATACCGATCTCTACGCAGTCAAACGACTCCATGGGACGTTCACACGAGGAGGCCTTACAAGGGACCTTTTGGAACTGTGCAACTTCAAGTTATCGCCTGAAGAGACTGATACGAAGTCTTGTTTTCAAACTCGTGTCAGCGTAAAAGTGGATTATACTAGGGAAAATTGGCGAAAAATCGTCAAAGATCATAAGAATAGAGTAAGTGATGTGTGCAAAGGATTTGCTATCTGGTCAACATTCCTCAGTACTCCTCACTCATGATTCCCCTCTTAAACTTGATCCCGAATCATACGCAGCCCAATAAGGCGCAGGTCAATGTGGATACTTTTGCTGCAACAAGTATTTCTGATGTTGCCGTACCTGCAAGCAATTTGGAGTTCATCGTTCAGCATGATCTCGTCTCGTGAGATCGAATACATCAACTGAAGTCAGAAAGACTTTAATGTGCCTTTCAATGTCCAAAAGTTGTGCACCGGAGGGATTCTGATCCAGAGACATGATTCGGGACATGCATACCTGCCAACAAATAATCATGTGGCTAGCTTGTTCAAGTGTGGCCTTGGACGCAACTGGTTGGATGATTGGCGGGCATTCCTCTGGAGGCAGCGAAATAAATTCGAGGAATTTTTTGTCAACAGCCTTCTTGAGGGACTTGTTAGAAATATCTTCTACCTTCCTTGCGCAAAGCCACGCCCTCCTCTGTTTCAAATTGTATTGCGATAGTGGCACTCCGGGCGGATCAATATACACATCGTCATCTTCAGTAAGTTTTGAAAGCAGCTGGTGAACATATTTGTAGACAAGACAGTACGCAATCCAATTCTCAGATACGTATCCGCCAAATTTTGTTTCGACCTTGCACCAAGATAGACTTTGGCGTTTGATTTGGTCAAGGACTGGATGGCTAAGATTGTAGAAAGAACTTGATTTCCGCTGAGCCTTTAACCAACCACTAATCAGATCTGTGGAGATTGCTTTTGTGATTCCTAGAAAGCACAAATGCATCAGTGCGTCAATATGATGTCGGATGTCAACACCTGGTACGTTCCATGTAGTTGGATGTGGAGGTTGCTGTTCATCTGGATTGTCCGCCGCATTGCAAAGGTCGGCAATGTAGACCTGAGAAAGTCCAAATGTTTCAAGGTACGCAATACCCTGTTTCTTTGTCCAGTAGCGGAGTCGAACCATGTCAAATGTAGAATCAGAGGCCGACTTCAAAATTGGAAAGGTTATTGGGCGGAACCGTAAACAGTTACCATTAACTCTCGCATCAGTTGGAGCACTGTCGGGCAAATTTTGCGCTGTTGGGTCCGTACCATCAGAGTTATTGTTCATGAAGATTGTTGGGTAGTCCTTTGGAATTTGATAAGACAACAGGTCCATGCGCCAATCACTACATCTTGTACATTGAAAATGCCTAACGTCTGGACTGCATAAACGCAGAGCATTGCAGTCAGAACAGGAAGGCAAACGTTTGTACGCACAGCTTTGTGACAGGTCTCCTGCCCAACCGAATCTTGCCCCGTATCTTCCATTACCATATGCAGGCTCGACGAACGGTTCAACCAAGGAACGATGCTTGCTCTGGGAGATCTGTATAACCTCCAACAGATACCTAAGCAAGTCACAACATTGATAATGTACGACGAGGCGTTTCCTCCCGGATTGATGCTCCACATGGCAGATCTCATCCAGGCAGCCCCGCCCAATCTCCAATTTGTTGTATCCGCAAAGGTCAACAGAGAGAGTTGCTACTCCCAGCTCTTAATCGACGCAGGATTAACAGAGCTGGGCAATGTCAAAGGAAGCAAAACGAACAATGGTGGAGCGACCACATTTACTCTGTTCAAACGCCTGGAACCCCAAACGAACAAAGATGGAGGGTCCGCAGCTCCGGCAACCGCGTCAGTGTCGCCTGTGCCTGAGAAGGAGACACTCCATCTGCAGATCGAAGGAGAGCTCGAAAGATTCACGGTGGGGGGTTCCTACGAATCAAGATTGAAGTACTATGAGGCACTGAAAGCCTCAACTCAGAAAACTATGCAGCGGGAAAAGAAGCTACGCAAACTGCATAGCAAGAAACGAGAGAAGAAGCATTGCCTATGTGCTGCTCAAGCGATGTGCGAGGCAAAATGCATCGGATGTGAGGAATACTTCGCTCATATCTCCGAAGATGAGCTCACATCCAAAAAAGTTACTTGGCTACCAAACCAACAGGGCCTTTTCTGTAAGACGAAGTTGAACAAGGACCAATTCGTCGTCGAGTACGCTGGGAGAATCAGGAAGACAACAAGCACCGACTGCGATCGGTACGTACTGTGTTTCGATGGGAAGCGCATCAACGCCAGGGGATATGGAATCCAGCAGTTCGTGAACCATAGCTGCAATCCGAACTGTACCCTTACTAAGTGGACAGATGAGTACGGAAAGTCCAGAGTCTCCATCAGGACCAAGAGCAACATTCCATCCGAAACAGAACTGACGGTCGACTACGGTAGCGAAAGGGAGCCCTTCGACTGTATCTGCGCCCGTTGTCGCCCCATCACAAAAACGGTGATGTGGTTCGGGATGACGGGAACCACCTTTGAAAGTATGAAAGTAGACAGGCCCAGTATCACGCTGGGGAGGTCTGGGAAAAAAAAATGGTTGGCCGACTTCTGTAGTCGGAACGGCAATAAATTGGGTAAACAGGATGCCCGCGATTTCCTCCGCATATCGGCTGCGAGGTGGAAGAAAACAGAGGTCTACTCGGTATCGATTCAAACAATCGACGAAATCGAGATGCTGAATCGAGACCCAGTCTTCCACAACAACTGTGACTGGAATTCCCCAGATTGTCTGGCCAAGATCGTAGGGAAAGTGGACGTGGTTGAGTGCGACTGGGTTTGGATGCCGGCATCCTACCTATCGGATTGCTTGAAGAATGGGTTTTTTACTAAGGTGATTCCGGAGCTGATCAAATGTCATCTTGCGCCTGGTGGTTACATTTTGTTACCACTCCAAATCCCCATCCTCGACCGAGTATTGGCCCACCAGAATGAGGGCAAATATTCAGTAACTTTGCTGACAGAACAAGAAGCGACGAAACTTAGCCCTTTGTTACAGGCCACGCACGAGCTACAGGCCATCATGACCGACAAAGAAACTAGGAGGGTTATGGGCAAAGCAAAACAGCAGCTGGATCACTACGCTGGTATTGAAAGCCTATCGGTGGTAGATCAGACGGTCTCCTCTGCTATCGACGTCAAGGACTTCCTAAATAACTACGCTGAAGAGAATGGCGACATTGGGAAGCTAAGATTCATTTGCATCAAAAGCAAACAGCCCAGTAAAAGCAGTCAGGCCGCTGGTATCAAAATAAAGCAGAGGAGCAAAAGAAAGCAGACGACAAAACCAACCGCTGCTGGCAAAAGGAAGAGTGTTCCGACAACGGAACCGGTGAAGGCGACAACTTCTGGTGCCAAACGAAACAAAAGGGCTGCGGGCAAAAGAAAGCAGACGACAAAACCAACCGCTGCTGGCAAAAGGAAGAGTGTTCCGACAACGGAACCGGTGAAGGCGACAACTTCTGGTGCCAAACGAAACAAAAGGGTGGTCGCTGCGGTCGTGGAGCAATCAACCAAAGCCAAAACCAAGATTTCCGCTGCCGCAACAGCTAGAAGCCGGAAGGCTCCAGGTTGTACCCCAAGAGAAATGCGGTTGAAAGCCAAAGTGCTAGGGTAGGATACTAATTAGTATATGAATATGAATTACAAATGTGTAATCTGATGATATCCGGGTACTCCTTCGAATGCCCCATCTTCAATAACAACACCGCGACAGAGGTTAAGTATTCGAGAAAGACTAGTACAATCCTTGAATGCAGAGACTTCAACAAGCCTTAGGCGGGGAGGAAAGTGTACCATTGTCACACTAATGCACCCCCGAAAGGTTCCACTCCTGATGATTCGAACCTTCGTGCAACTCAGATTCACCTCGAGCATACTTGAGCAGTTCATGAATGCCTGTCGTCCAATATCATTCAAAAGGGAAGAGAATGGAAATCCGCGGAGGTTTGAAGCGTTCATGAAAGCCTCCTCTCCAATACGTTCCAGACGCTGTCTTCTAGCAGCCTTCGCTTTGTTTTTCGTTTTCTTGCTCATTTTAGAAAAGAAGTTTGCTTTGGATTGCCATGCCCACCGTGTCATACTCCACGCTACTCCCTACTCTTCGGGGTGTGCACGGAGGTTATAACACGATGACTCCGCCATGGTCAACGCTCAGTAGTTACTAGATAAAACAATGACTAATTAACATTACACATCATGTGCTAACCGCAGTCACGGGCCTATCGAGCTGACCGGACGTTAAGATTGGATTTTTTCAGAACAACGAGCAGTCGACTATCACCAAAAATATCTCCAAACGCTACGTAGACAAACTCGGTTGTGGTGCCAATGATATAGCCAACTTCGCCGTCCATTTGGGGTTCCCAAAGGACGGTAACTCGCTCTCCAAACTTATGATTGCTGCTGTTTTTCTTTTGGGGAAAGGGAGACTTCCGTTTGTTGATCTCAGCTAGATCCCTTGCCACCATTTTCAGTTTGTGATGAACGTTTTTATTTGGACTGGGCCTGTTAGTATTTGGGCCAAAAGAAAGCTCTGCAAGCCTTTTTTGCAGCTCTTCCAGTCTCGCCTTTTCATCCTCTATGCGACTTTCCGCATCCGTGATTAATGCGCAGATCTCCTGCTTTGTTTCCATGTCCCCTGACCTTGCCATCCTGTTGGGATGTTGCTTTTTGCATTGCAGACTCACGACTGTCACAGTACCTGATGGCCCCAGAATTCCCAGAATGTGGCCCCAGGATCCATTCACACTTGGAGATTTGCCCCCAGAATCCGTATTACGGATTCTGGGGGCAAATCGCAATCACGAAAAGTTCATTCACGCTTGGAGATTTGCCCCCAGAATCCGTATTACGGATTCTGGGGGCAAATCGCAATCACGAAAAGTTCATTCACGCTTGGAGATTTGCCCCCAGAATCCGTATTATGGATTCTGGGGGCAAATCCCAATCACGAAAAGTTCATTCACGCTTGGAGATTTGCCCCCAGAATCCATAATACGGATTCTGGGGGCAAATCCCAATCACGAAAAGTTCATTCACACTTGGAGATTTGCCCCCAGAATCCCTAATACGGATTCTGGGGGCAGTCCAAAAGGCCGTAATATGGACTCTGGGGCCACATCTGTATCACGAATAATCGCTATTAATCATTCCGAAAATTCGGAATCATGAATGTAGCAAGGTTTCCCACATAATCTAAGACAGCAGACCATCAGAATTAAATGAAGAAAAGGACAATCGACGCAGTTAACGAGGACGCTGCCCAATCGTTAGTCCGATTCAACAATAAGCGGCAAAAAAGTGCTTACTGTCCTCTCTGTAGCGATGTTTTCTACATCGGCACAGCTTTGTACGACTTCTGCGTTCCCATTTCCTCCGCCAACGTCGAAGACAGGAAACTCGTCCGGGCTGGGCGACAACACTGTAAAAAGAAGCACCCGACCTCCTTTTTATGGAACCTTCCAAGAACATCGTTCTGGTCGATCTTGGAGAAAGCAGGGAAACCGCCAGTTCCTTCTGTGATGCGGCATGAAAGAATTTGTTTTTCTGGCCCTTGAATAACTCTGTCAATTCCCTAACGAGCTTTTCCATGTCAGTGGTCATGTCACCATTGGACGGACCAAGGGAGACCGGGTAAGTATTGCGACCAGAATGATAATCATCTCCAGGGGTACCGACGGATACAAGTACAACATGTACGGAGCCTCGATTATTTTTGGTATTGTTGGTATCAAAAGCATCAGACCAAATCACAACTTCAGATATAAACTCGGTCGGCTGGGCATTGCTTTGCTCGTTTGAAAACGCGACAAGATCCTTTCCTCTCTGAGAAGATCCGTGGAGTGATTGAACATTCTTGGACTGGGGGGAGTATGGTGCATCGACCAAAGGATCCAAAGTCTGGCCGTTGGCTAGATGGAATTGGAGAATGTCGCGAATCGAGACGTAGGCAAACCCTGTATCAAGAATTTGAATGATGGGTCGCGGGAGTATATTTGGAATTGACTCTCGTCCATCAGGTCCATAGCAATTTCTCAGTTGTGCGTGGTTCTCTGGAATTGGAAGTCCACGATTCAACGGATCCGACATGTATACCATTAGCGCAACAAGAACACGCTGCTCAATATTGGTGAGGCGGTTTGTAAGATATGCAAGAAGAATGCAGAATAGGGGATTGGTTGCACCCATGCGTTGTAGGATGTCTAGCGAAGTGTTCCGCTGCGCTGCCCAAGCAGTAAGCAACCTGGGTCCCCATCCAAACTCCAAATTGCAGTGAAAGTATTGCGCATTCATGGGTGTTCTCGTGAGACCATCGATCGGAGTCGTTTCTTCCTCGGTCGAGAAGTAACCTGACAGGTCGCCCTTTGGGTTGGGACACTTTGACAATATTTGTGTCATCCAATCTTCCGAAGTGAGCTGCGGCGGCGCATTTGATGCATCATCGATTTCGATTGAACTCCACTCATCATTGTGAGAGAAAAATTCCATCCCGTTGTCGTTGCTATCTCCCGCGGAATGCTGGGTTGGGCTGGGACCGGTATCCGTCTCCATATCCGTTGTTTGTGCGATTTGGCATCGCTCTGCAAACTGAATTTCTTGTTGCACGTAGGCTGATGGTTTGGTGCTCTCGAACTCAGCAACTCGCTTTAGGTGTTTTTTTTGACGCACATGTTTGCTAAACTGTTGAATCTCAATGTCATGAGCTACAGTGCAGACCCTGCACTTGATCCACCTGTGGACCATAGTGCACCTAACATTGTCACAGTTAAATATCGCCAAGTACTTCCTCTTTCCGTCACGAACAATATCTTTGGTCTGGAGTCCACATTTTCTACACGAAAAATATATATCTTTAGTGCGCATGATGAAGTCGTCTTTGGTCAGTAGCGGACCATCGTCTTCTGACATCTTCAACCAACTGGAAGGACCCCAATTACTTGAAGGAATAAACGTAGTGAGGCGATAGAATGACTATTTATGTAGTGAAGCAGGGCGTCGGTGGCATATCAGCAGCAGCGAAAACATGAGCGTGTTTTACGGTGTCTCTTCGCTAACTGCCGCCGGGCGTAATAAACCATGTGTGCACATGGTTATTGAGGTTTTACCTGTGAAACCAGTGAAAAACGAAGTCGGCGTTGGACAAGTATTTTCGATTGATTCAAATCGTGGAATGCAATGTCATGCGACACGCACACGGTAGGTCCATGTACAAAATGTACTGGAAAATGCCGAGTCAGTCGGTCATTATGAAGGCATCCGGACACGTGCTTTCATAGCAACCGCAAATGACACAATTTCACTTATTTTTGGATCTGCAAGAACATCAAGGTTGCCAATGGACAATATTCGTAAGTTGTTACTATCTCTTGTCAATGATTTTGTACTCGTGTACTGTATTGTATCTAATGAAAAGCATTGCAGATCCATTTCGCTGATGGGGGTGGGGATGACACCAACACTACGGTAAGTCAAGGACGACTGTGTTCGTGCGCTGTGGATACAATACAAACAACCACTAACGTTTCAGATTTTTGAACGTTAGGTCGGTCGTTTTACTATTTATTCAGATATGGATGCTAAATCACAACTAGATTGTCATGGATCGGTGACTCTTCAGGACTAAAGAATTGTCGGGCACTGCGCTATGTCATCGATGGTCTCCTTACGCTGCGATGTGACAATTGGTGATTTCGCGATGGAATCTATAATTTCTGCCCGAGTATGGCAAAGCGCAACTATATATTGGAGAGACGTGGTGGAGACATGATGGATGAAAACTGCTGGGCAAACGCAATGCACATCCAAACTGCACATTCAAACATCCAAACTGCACATTCAACGACACAATCATGAATGGATGGAAGCTTTTTGGAAAGCAAATACGCAGTCGATTTTCATACAATGACATTTGGTTAGCTAAAGATGAAGAATTAAATGTATAGATACTTTGTTCATGGTTGCAAGATATACTGACGATAGAACGATAGTGCTATATAGTAGCTCGTTATTTTAAAATAGATTCAAATGACACCGTGTGCGGGCAGGCTCCTATATGACGGCTGGTGCGGTTTAGTTGCATACGAAAACAGCCGTTAAGCTAAGGGTGATAAGGACGGTAATGATCATGGGAATAGGGAAATGCGGTAGTAGAAGTGGGACTTATCTTTGTGGTAAGTTTTGTGGGAATATGGTAGAGTCTCGGGGAGTCTCACCCGTAAAATTACCGAAATATGCGATTGTGCCAGATTGTTTCCCCCGAACCCAGACTTTTCACCAGCTTTGCGCAAAAATCGCGCGCAATATTTAGAACTTTTCTTCACATGGGATTGCGGTAGTACCATCTTTTCCACCCGATGTTCTGCCCTAGTCCCATACAATTCGTTTACGGTGATACTGCTGATTTTTCGGTACAACTTATGGGACCATTGGACTTGTGTATTTTTTGCCTCTTTATTATTGGTCCAATCAATCGCTATAGGACCACTGGACTTACATCGGCACTGGCGTCATGGCACGCCGCTTCCACGATGCTTGTTTTCAATTATTCGTTTCTATCCCTTCTTTTTGATATCATTCAACTTAAGTTATAGGGCTACTGGG